TCGTTGTCCTCCCTGCACTACTACTTCTATTGTAAGTACTTTGGTTTTCATAGCAAAGTTAACCTGACTGTATTAATCCTGGGCTTATCTCTAGAGAGTCAAATGTTAATATTAAAGAACAAAACTGCGTTATTGTGATTTTATTAAGCATATCTGAAAAAAACTTACAAATGTGTGGTGCAGGGATCTGATGGGAGTGAGAGTATTTTGAAAGAATGTCATCACATTTTCAAAAGTAATTTCTCTTTCTGGGGTACCGTGTTAAAGCAAGCTCATTGTCTCATGTCAAGACTTACAGTGCTGCTGGTTCGATGAAGTTTTAAGATCCCTTTTCCTTCTCAAGAGCTCCTCAGAAATTAATTTTCCATTTCCTCATGGTCATTAGTTCAGTTTAGGACTGTGTACAGGTTCAGTCTATCATTTCAAGAGGCTACCCAGTCATCCTGATTCCTGACAAGATAAATCAATTATGAAGGTCTGTTCTTAAGTGTTAATGTAATATAGCTTCCTGCAGACTTTCCAGTGGAAGTCCTTCTTTACTCCTGTCTCTAAATAATTGTTCACAGCTGGTAATTAATATTTACTTTTGAGCTGTTTGAAATTCACTTTGCTTCTATGAAGAATCATCTTCTTACATGTACCTTTATATCATTTTTTCCATAAACTGCAGACCAATGCAGAATTTGCCCTACTAGCCTAATTTTTTACACAAATCAGAAAGACCCAGGCAATGCCTCTAACTTTTTCCTCTAAAGTCCCAGCCATATAAAAACACATATTTACACATTCAACTAGATCTATTCGCTGCTTCAAAATGATGGCTAAGCACATATGTAAATGTTTATGGTATCAGTCTAGCTTATAAGACTTCTTTACTCAATCTGAAAGCCAGTGTAATCCCTTATGTCAGGCCAGATCTGATCTCAGCTCTGCCACTGTAAATAAGGTATTATTCCAACCAAGTCAACAAAATTACGCTGGTATGAATGTGCAAACTCCGCTTTAGTTTTAGTATCTCTGTTCAGTAACCTTGGACTGGAAGGAAGAGGAGAGAATATATACCAAAATGTTGGGTTTATGTGTGCCCAGAATTTAAACAAAGAAAGCTAGGAATGGGCAGGATTGCCTGCACAATGAAAAATCACTTATTTCTTAAACTTCTGTGTATGCTTGCTTGAACAAAGGGCTGTGATCATAGTACAAAGGAAATGCTAGAAAGCAACTGAGCCTGCGTACCATTTTGTTCACCTATAAGCTCTCTAAGAGAAAACTGTCAGGGATGTTGCATGTGAGTTATATTCAGCTCTGTGTTTTACTTCTAGCATGCTAATTTATTACCTACAAAGTATTGCAAGATCATTAAAATTCACCAACAATCAACTGAGAATGAAGATCCAAACAGTAAGTACGGCGTTTTTACATAAAAGTTGGTGGGTCTTCACAAAAGTGCTAGCCTTAATTACGTCTCTAAAGTCACTTTCAGGGTTTCACAATGTAAAATCAGTTCTGTGTTTATCATTCTTACGTAGTAGTGAGCTTGCTTTCTAACCTATTGTAATCTGCTGGTTCTCATTCTCATGTTTGTATTTTAGGAAAGAACTGAAGATAAGAAAAAGGTGGTTCAGATGGCAGCAGGTAAGTTGCTGAGCTTTAGAGATACCACTATTAATAAAGCATTTAGACACAAAATCATTTTGATTTCTCATATGTATAAGGAAGTTCAGCTACATTTTAAAATCTGTATTTCCTGCAGAGTTCTCCTTTTAGATGGTTTCTGAGCATATCTTGACTTAATCTTGGCAGTGTGTAGGTATAAACTCAATTGGGATCCACAGACTTGGTATTTTCCTGCTTTCACCACCTATCGGGCAGGAGCTGGTGGGCATTCTCTCATTCAGATCGTATCAGACCTTGCACAAAATACATAGGGTAGTAGGCAGAAGACGGGAGAAGGGAACGGCTCCTACTCTTTGACCTGAACAGGTCAAACGCTTCCTATGCAGTGAAAACGTTTCAGGCTTAACTGTGTCTACTGTGCCTGAGGGGATTTGAACCTGTGCCTTCCACTTCTCAGATTTTAGCAATGAGATACCAGGGAAGGGGGGGGGGGAAGGGGGAAGGAGGAGTCTTTCTAATCCCTGCCAGTGAAACTAGTCCAATGAAGAAACAAGTGAAAATTTGTAAAGCCAAAGAGAGGACAAGTCATGATTCAGTAACCTTATAGCTAGACTTTAATGTTATTTACACCCTTATGAAAAAACTTAAATCTAGCAGACGTAAACGATGAAATACTTGATGTGTAGCAACAGACTGCTCAGGAGGAACAACTAAGGACAATGAGATATGTTTCTTAGTTTGATTTTCTTTGTAAAAGACACCAAATTCAGCTTTTTGGACAGCAGCATGCTGTCACTGGTGTTGGTTTCCTGAATTTGGCCACCTTCATCTTGGTAATCATGTGTAACGTAAACTCAAATTGTGCTCTTGAAAAGAAATGTTTGTTTCTTACTTATTTTGGACACCTAGAGTGCAATTTCTAGTTTTTTCTGTATACCCCAATGTTATGATGACCTTCTGTCTGCCATGTACTGCAGTCTGCCAGTCCACCCCTTTTTCACCATGTCTCCGAGTACGACATGACTGCCGCTCCTCGCTGAACTCTGTGGGAGTCTGTTGGCATTGGGTCCCTTGACTGAAGGGAGAATTTGAGTCAGTGCATATACAGAGCAGCTTCTAAATTTAGGGCCCTGGAGAGTTCCTGTAATAATTCCTATTTTCTAGCCAGAATCCAGAGTCTGGATGGGAATGACAAGAGACCTGAGCAAGAAAGTGATATTATCAGTCAAGAGTCTTCAGTACGGTCCTCAACCCCCCGAAAGAATGGCAGTGTCTTGAACTTCGAATCTCCTGTGAGCCAAGGCACCAGAATACAAACCATTTCCCAGTCTGTTCCCCAAACAGTGCCCTCAGCTGATGTAGCAAGGTCTGTCAACGCAACTCCAACAACTTCAACCTCTTTAACGCCAGCTCCCTCAGTACCGAGCGTACAGAAACCAAGAAGCGATCACCACCCAAACAGGCAAGACTTGTTTTGATTTTGAAAGGGCATTTATTCCAGTAGCTCCAGGGCATACCTGTGTTTATTTACAGAATAGCTCTACGTTCAGACTAACCCTGTCTGATGCAGCACAACAGCTGAGGAATTCTTTAAAAGCAGATTCACTTATTAGTACTACTCAGGTTGCGGGTAACAGCACCTCCTTATCTCTCCCTGAATTCAGTTGCCAGATTAGATTTTAAGACTTTTGAAATGATTTAGTTGATGGAGTTCACACACACCTCTAAAACAAAGGCAAATATTAAGATCCCTCTCTGGCATGTATCTAAAATAGTTTGTGGAGGTTACTGTTTTCCATGAACAAGACAAATACAGTAACAGTTAAGGAATTCTGGGCAGAATGTCTTTGGAGGCCTAGTTGTAGGATGACATGTTTTGGACAGGTTGGTTCAGAGAGCCGACCGGTGCTAAAGCGCCAGCTACCTATTTTTTTCAAGTGATCAATTAAGAGCATTTTTACACAGTTCTTAAAATCATAAGAAAACAGATCTGGAAGGTACCTTGAGAGATCAATATCTGTTGCCATTTCCCATGGAAGAAGAAACGTTTCTCCTAGTTTCTAGCATATGTTTCTCTAACTGTTCCTAAAAAGTTTGCACAGTGGAGACTCCACAGTCCTCACTCTTATGGTCTAGCGTTTGACTTCCAGCGCAATAAATTTCTTATATCTGTTTTAATGATACTGTTAAATAAGTCTCTCTCAATAAATATATATTTTTGTTTTGTTTTGTTTTTTCCTAAAGGTACCCAAGCGTTGTGCATGGGACTGCAAATGATCTTTGTAAAACAAAGCCCTACACCCCAGTGACTTTCAAAAAGCATGTTGAAGATGTTCACTCTGAGCCTCTCTTTAGAAAAGGTATTCGACAAGTAAATCCAGATGCTCTTGGGGCAGGGGCTCCCGTTTTTGTGGGACGGAGACCACATGCTACCAGATATTTTCTTGTTAATGAACATGAGTCTCGCAAAAAGTTGCTCCGTTCTACTTCCCGACTCCCAAGGCATTTCAGAATGGATGAAGCAGGAGACGTTATTGAGTTGTATCCACGTAACGTCAGAAGATATGTGGTTCGAACGCCACACCGGATGTATTCCCCCCATCCCAGTGAAGACGAGGACGATGAAGAGGATCTCAGGAGAGACTTGATGAACAGAACCCATCGCCCCCGCTCACTGTCTGATCTTCGCCCAGCACCCCGATTTTACATTGGGGAACATGCTGATGGCCACGTTCTTATGAGCAAGGATCTAGCCAAAGTGCATTACAAATCCTGGGATGATGGTTTTGAGCTAGACCTGGATAGGCCCCCGTATGCTTACAAAAAAGTACACTTGAAAAATGTTGAAGTGGACCAGCACTATCCTGAGCAATGTGTGAAACCTAAGTCAAAGCACAAGCTGGAACAATCTCTAACGGAATCTGATTCCATTTCCATTGAATCCAGCAGCGATCCACAGAACAGTGGCAATGACCAATATATCCAGGTCATTCATAGCAAGGAAAAGTACCTGAAACCTGGGGCAAAGCTCAGCAAAAAGAAATCAAAAAACAGTGTTGATCTAACTATGTCTGAGCCTAATGAACTGGTATGCTCGAATGTCTGAGGAAGTGCCCCATCATTTTTGTGTTTTGAACTGGTGTATTTGCACTTGTACTTGCTGTGTTTGAGGTCCGCTGGAGAAACTGTGATGTGGTTTTTGGAATGACAGTGTACGCAGGGGAAAATGTAGTTAGCCTTGTACTTTACTGTTAACTGTACCTTGCTTTAATAATACAACTGATACGCTACAAAATTTGGAAGAGAAAATTATTCCAACTTATTAGTCACTATTATGCTATTATTTAAAAAAAAAAAAAAAAGCTATGGTAAAACCAAGAGCTATGTACTTGGGCACTTTAATTAAACCAGTCCAAAAACGTCAGGTGAGGCTCTGACGCAGCCACAGCTGATGATGTTTGCACTGAATCAGTCCAGCAGGGAATCAGCTTCCTACAGATGCCGAGTTGCTCTCTGCGATATAATCTGTGGCGTTTTTCCATGCCTAGTTCAAATGCTCAAACAGAATAGCAACAGGTTAAATTCAGAGAATACAGACAGCGGACTTGTCTGAGCGTAGCAGCGCAGGCCGGCCGCCTATCCAGAATGCTCGGGGGTCGTTAATTTTGTGGGGCGACGGCTCAGCCCGCCCTGACGAACTTCACAGGTAGCCTTTGGGGAACGCGTCACAAATTGTGAGAAACTGTCACAATTTTACCAGCTTAGATGCTGAATACTGCTGGGTTTTTTGTTTGTTTGTTTTTAATTGGATTACGCTTGGATAAAACCCTCGTGCCGGCAGCCGACCCGACCGCCCGCTGCCCCTGAGTACCTGACCGGGGCCTCACTCGGTTTGAAATTAGGAAAGAAACTGCGACACCTTCCGCCTGGCTCCCAGCGCTCTCTGGAGGCCGCAGGCGACCCGAATAACGTCTCCGCCTCGCTGCCCT